AGAAACGCTCCTCCGCGTCTCCCTGGTCTGCAGACCAGGAAGACGCGGAGCAAAGCCGCTGCCCGAGCCCTCCGCCCTGCCCCCCGCGGCTTTGCAAAGCCTCGCTGCCCGAGCCCCCCCGCAGCTTTGCAAAGCCGCGGGGAAGCCGGCAGTGGAGCAGCCCAGGCGCCTCCAGGAGTCCTTCTGCAATATTGCTGTCCCACACACTTGCTGCCCCCAGTGGTCTCTCTGCAATATTGCATCCCTCTTCTCTGCCCCTTTCCTTTCCGTGTTCTGGAAAACGGTCCCATTCCAGGCACTTCCCATTTTCCTTGCCCAACCAACTCCTGCCCTGCTTTAAATTAGGGTAAGAAAAAACTTTATACCAAATTTGGTGGCCTTAGTTCTTATAGTTTAGGAGGAATTCTTGAACAAACAGACTCAGACACACAAATTCTCTAAAACATATATTTAGATAATTCAGAAAAATGGTTTCCCCCCCATAAGCAGTCTCTGTTCACAACTCCTTATATAACAGAAATGTATTAGTTACCTCTGTTAAATGGCTGGAATTATAATCTCAAATATACACATTTCAGGCTGAAAATTTCCAGACTTGGCCTTTAACCAAAGGATAAATAATTTTAGAAGGAAAAAATATTTTATCTGTTTTTGAGTAAGAGTATAAAAAGATACTTCCCCAATTATTAAACATAATTCCAGGTTAAAAAAAAAACTTGATAGCTCAAATCTCTGAGAACCAAGAATTTAAATTAGGCACGGAAATTAGCATCCCTAATGAAGGATGGCTTTGAAGGGTTCTGGTGAGAAAAAGAAATGATTTTAATTTACTGGGCTAGGAGTCTTTGGAGCCATTTTGTGAACATGTCATAGATCTTGCATGCAGTATTATTTACAGCCATGTCACTGCATATATTAGAGGATTAAGGTGGGTGAGATAACTTATTTTGGTGAGACGAGCTTTCCAAACAACACAGCGCTGATATGGCAGCTGCTAGGTAGTAGGTAAGTTTATCCCTGTTCAGCAAAGTACTAAATTGGTCCTTAACTGACACATGCTGACTTTCAGGGGGTGGGGGAGTGAATGCTCAACCGTTAATCATCTGCTTGTGCACTTGGTGGAAGCCCTTTCTCTGAAACCGCCCGGCGACTCCCATTTACGGGGCCGGGAAGAAAGGCGCAGGGCGGGCTGGGCCCTCGCGCTTTTGAAAGGCGAGTTACTTACTCTATTGCCAAGAGCTCCGGCCCGAGCCTCTGCGCGTCCTTCGCAGCAGCAGCAGCAGCAGCAGGAGG